GGTGAGGGTCTCGATGCCATCTTCCCCCAGCCAGTCCCACATGGGATGGTTGCAGGTCCAGAGACCTCCCTGAGCATGCCATGCACACCTGACTTGGTCTGGCTGGGGGTGGATGGTGGCATCGAGCCTGTTTTCTCCCTCATGGAAGAAATAAACTTAAAAATAAAATTAAGTTGAAAAGCAAAAGGATGTGTTTAGCATACAATCTAGCATTTACATTGTAGTTTTTTATGCCTAACAAAATGGTCAACGTATCTTCCTCTGATATAGTTTGGGAAATATGAACATTTATGGGCTATAAAAAATACTCCATGTGCTATACTGTATTTTTTTTTTTTAAATTGGGAGTTAGGTATAGAACAAAAACCTATTACCCACCATAAATCTACCTATAATGCTTATCAACAACTATTGTGTGATCTTACCAAAAGATAGAAATATTCATTTCCAATGTGAAGAGCTGTTAGTTCATGGGAAGAGCACTATTTTGTACTGACTCCATGTTTTCAAGTTTTTTTGGGATGTTGTCAGTCACTAAATAAACTGCATGCTTTCCTACCTTTGTAGATAATTATAATCTTTTCCAAAATAACCATTCTTGCAATGATTCAATGAAAGGATAAATAAGATACACCTAAAGTTTGAAATTAAGTTACTCTGTAATTCTGTCATGTTATCAGTTGTATCAAAGTGATCTGAGGATCACAAAAAAGGTAGTAACAAATCTGAAATCTGAAGACAGGTTGTACTCATAGGAGAGTCAGTATGAAGCCTAGGAAAAAGGAGATATGCATCAGTGTAGCTTTGGCAGTATCCACAGTGCCTGCCCTGACTGGGTACTCTAGGATGTCACCATCTGGGCTGGTCTCCTAACAGGGGCATGCATCAGATTATGACTCAGCAATATTAGGCAGTATAATAACCTAACTCCACTGTACTTCCAACCTGAAACAAAATCCTAATTTTACATTGCTTCCATGAGTACTGATATAATGAATGCCCTCATTAGTTAAGTACCTAGATCCTCTTCAAGGTCACAGTCACTGCCAATGAATAATCTGGGACTTGCTTTTTCAAGAGCTTCAAAAAGGTCATGGAAAATGGAATTACAATGAATTTGATGCAAAAGATTTGGAATCCATAATTTTTTCATAGTACTCATTTTCCATCAACTTTTTGAAGATCCCACATATACCCAAATAAAAGATTTTGAAAGTACTCCCCATAATGTCACTCACTTGCAATCCATTAGTTGGGCTAGAAGGAAGAGTATAAACAGGGCACATGAAATTTAGCCTATTGATCTAGGCAAGTCTTAGTACAATTGTTAAAACAGAGAAAAGGAAAGGATCTATGAGTTTCCTGTCAGTAGCTGTCATGTATCTAGTACCCACAGAAAAATGCCACCTAGCAGTTTAGTTTGTGTTGAAACTTCCAAAGGATGTGGCCATAAATGTGCTTTATAGGATGTATGATAGTCCAATAAACATCAGTTGTCTTCTGCTTTCCACCTCAAATCCTGTTTACAAAACAACCAGGCAGCTTAAAATAAACCATTGTAAGGGCCAGCAGATGGCATGGAGGTTAGGCTCTAGACTCCCGCATGGCTGCACTGTGGTTCCCAGTCTTGGACCCAGCGGTTTGAAAATCACACTGAGTGTGTGTGTGGGTGCCCCAAATCCAAAGAGAACAGAGAAGGGATTGAGGTGTGGCCATCCCCCAAGGGGAGTAACTTCTCACTTTCCCTCTCTTGTCTTTCTGGCCAGAGCATATGCCCTATGGTAAAAACCTAAAACAAACAGAAAAACATCATGGATTATGAGCTACGTATTTGCCAGATACTAGTCAATTCTCATTATTCATGGCAGTTAAATGCTCTGAAGCTACCATGACACTGAATTAGCAAACACTGAATTGTCACTTCTGGGGGAGATGGAGGGTTAGGGTCCTGTAAACCTGTCACATTTTAGTTAACTGACAATAGTTTTACGTTTCTGTTAAGACACCTTAACAGGGGCCAGGAAATGGAGCAATGGTTACATTGTTGGAACTGTCACGTAATTGACCATGGTGCAAGTCCCAGATGCGGTAGCTTCAAACTCACACAGGGTGTACATGCCTCTCTGCTCAAAATCCCAGGGAGAATGGAGAAGGGATTGTGGCATGACCATCCCCTCTGGGAGGTGATTACTCACTTTGTCTCTGTTTCTCCGGTGAGTGCATGCACACTATAGCAAAAATCTTTCTTAAAACAAAACCTTAACATATTGTTCATTTACTGGACTCACACACACATTATAACTCACCTAACTTTTGCCTAAAAAAGTTCACTCCTTAACACCTATTTCCTCCACAAAGCACATTACAGCCTTCTTGTGCTTGTAAATACCGAACAGTACTTCTATACTACTCTTTGGAATTCCTTTAAATAGCACAATCACCAAGAAAAGGAACAGAACATAGCATTAAGATGACTACAAAAGGGTCATGTATTTACAGTATGATAGCTAGGACTGGCCATAGATCAGTGGCTAAGCTCTGTGCTGGATCCCACATGGCTGACTAAGGTTCAAACCCACACCGTTGGAGCTTAAAAAAAAACCCTGTATGCGTGGCTGTGCACATGCACTCAAAATCCTGATGGGATAGAGAAATGGAAAAGGGATTGTGGAGTGACCACGCCCTATTGGGAGCTGCTTTTACTATCTAGCAACTAAGGAAAAAGTATGAAAGCTGAAAGAGGGTACCTCATCTGGGAGTATATGGTTAGGTGACTCAAATTTTTTCACTGTTTTGTACATTCATTACACCAAAAATAGTAAGAACACAGATCTTGGGTTTACAAATAAATTTTGGTGAATTGGCCAATTTACAACTATGGAATCTGTAAATAAGGATCTATTATCTCCTGTCCAACAGTCACTATAAGCTTGCTATAGCTAGGGAAACAGACATTTCAAGAACAGATGGGATGATTTCTGTCCATGTCCCACAAGAAATAGGGAATCTCAATTACCCAACATACAAAGGAAGCTACTATCTGCTCCATAACTCCATATGCTGGAATCAGTGTAGGTGTATTACAGGTACAACTTCTAAAGTACCTCAAAGTCTGCTCCTCTAAAATCTCAAAATTTGAATCACTTTGTATTGAAATCTTGAGAAAAACTTTTCTAGCTTCCTGAAACAGTGAAGAAAATCTACCAGACTCAAGACAAAGTTGTCTCAATGAACTGTCAGTCCCTTCAAGGATAGGTCTTTGGTCAGACAAAATATAAAACCGTCACAAGCTTCTTCAAGCAGGGTGGGCTATCACTGCCACAAGCCAGGTTTTATCTAGATTTATTTATTTTGGGGCTTTGATCCCACAGGTAATAGAGTGCAACTGTAACTCTGGCAGTGGTACGAAGAAAATGTTGGCTAAAGGTAGATAATTTTCTCTAAAGTACATTTATACTACCTGGGCAATCAGTTTTAGGCAGATGTCATGGGCCCTAGGTCAGATCCTCTACATCCATCTTCTCCAAAATAGAACCCCACACCTTAACTTCTAACAAGTACTTTGGGTGATAAGATTTGAAATTAACCCTAATGTTTTGACATTAATCAACATAAAAATTATACCAAAAGCCTATAAATAATATCTACATTCTGTTCTCCAACAAGGACAGAGTAGCTGTTAACTCTTTTACATCATATCGATAAAGGATTTAAACTAATGGCCTCCTGGCCTAGAAACCTCAATACAGTCCTAGACTGGCAAAATTTCAAAAGTTGATGGTTATCAGTTTCATACATGAAATGTTAAAATCACTTAGCAAATACAGATAGGCGCAAGAATTCCTATGGAAATCTAAATTCATGTAACACATCAGAGAAAGTTTATCCTTTTCTACATAAACCTTAACTCTTATGCTGAATTAATAGTACATTTTACAAGAGGTTCTTATGTCAGCTACTACTTTCAGCTCAGCACCATTAAGATATTACCTATTTACACATGCCAACCAAGAGACTTAAAATAAAAAAGCATAACCATACAGTGTTTAATGAATTTTTATTAAAGCAAGAATTTTATAATCCAAATTACGTTTCCTTGCTCAGTTATCAATTCTGTTACTTAAAACAGACCGACACCCTGAGCTATTCCACAGTAAAGAATTACAAAATTAAAGAAAGGAATGCTTTAAATTTTTGTACTTTGCTGAAAATTATTTTTTCAGGATCTATAAAACATTAATTTGTTTTTATATTTTACTATTTTTTTGTGTTTTTTTTTTTTTGTTGTTTTTAAATCAATAAGTAATCTAGGACTAGCATTATGTTTGCTAGACCTGGCATTTGCTCGGTACATAAGGTTCAAAGTTTCCTTTCCTTTTTTTGTTTATTTTATATTTTGCAATGTTTTTTTTCCATAATATTTAAGTTTTTCGCTGTTTAGATATTTTTCTTCGGTGAAGCATAAGTTTCTTTTCGTGGTCCCTGATCAATCTGTAAGTGGTTAAAAAAAAAAAATTAAAAACCAATACTGGCACCTGTCCATAGCAAATTATAGCCCTTGGCCAAATTCAGTCTGCTGCTTATTTCTGTAAACACAGATATAGCTTTTAAGTCATGTACTGTTCATGGCTGCTTTTTACATTATAACAAAGCAAATTAATTCCTTTTTTTTTTTTTGAGAGGTCTTGGCTATAGGGTGCGTGCGCTCGCCAAGACAGACAGAAAGCGAGAAACCATCCCCCAGGGGGGGATGGCCACGCCACAATCCCTTCTCCATTCTCCTCTCGGAATCTTGAGCACACATGCACATAAGTCAGGCATGAGTTTAAGCCATTGGGTCTGGGACTCAAACTGCAGTCAACTACATGGAAGGCCAGCAACATAGCCATTATGCTAACTGCTGGTCCCCCAAAGTAAATTAATTCTAACAGAGATAATAATCCTAACAGAGACATAAGTCCACAAAACTCGAATATTTCTTATCTGCTTAATTTACAGGAAAGGTTTGCCAGTCTCTGTTCCTGGACCCTAGCCACACACTGCTGTGCACCTACCTATACTGTTATCCTGTTTCATGGGAGGAACAAAGGGCCAATAGTAGAGGCGCAAGGGCAACCATTACAGCCACTAATCTCTACATACAAGAACTCTAAATACATGGGCTGTTTAATACAAATTCTGCTTAAAGATGCTAGGATTTTAAAAAATCCAATTCAATTCCAGGGTAATAGGTAGAAACCTTTAACGCCTCTTAGTTTCCATTTCTTTTTGACAAAATCAGCAAATAAAATAATTTTTTTCTATGTATTCCTCAAAACAGGCAAAGTGGTAAAAAGAAACTAATTTCAAAACCATAAATCACAGGAGGATAACTCACTTTAAACAGTTGGAACACCAGTGGCACTGTTAACTGCTTTCTGGGCAGCCTCTTTAGCTTGGTGGGCTTGTAGTACTGCTACAGCTTCATCAACCTAAAAAAGAAAAAAAAGGGCAAGTATTAGCAAATATTCCTTGCTCCAAAAGAAAAAAAAACCTAGGTACAAGCATAGCTGTTGGAGCTAAACCAATTGGGCAAATTATTCAACCCTATGCCTCAGTTTCCCTATCAATAAAATGGGGATAACAACACCACAGGTTGGTATGAGAATTTACAATTAGTATCCACAAAACTCTTAGGATTATGCACAGCTTGTACATAGTACTAAGTAAATGATCTATAGAAGTAAACCCCTATAAAAAGCCCTAGAATACAGACTACAAGAGGCAACTATTATGATGGTAAATTTAAATCACCTTAGAACGAAGAGACTCTGGAGACTCAAGCATATGAAGAAGTTCTGAATTATCAATCTCCAACAACATGCCAGTGATTTTACCAGCAAGAGTAGGGTGCATGGCTTGAATAAGAGGAAACAGCCGTTCACCTAGGAATAAAAACATTCAAAAGCTCCTTTAATCAAAAAAATCTGAAGAGCAATTACCATATTAAACTTGGGTTTAAAAACCTTACCTTTTAACATAGGGTACATGTAATATATAACTCACTATTTCATTATACCTCTTCTGGGAAAAGAGACTAATATCTGTCAGAAGGCACTTAATTCTCAGCATTATGTTTGACAATTAAGCCATGTTACAGTACTGTCAACAGACTGTTAAATCTGTACTCAAAGTTGACTTCTCATTTGGTTCGAATTCAAAACACAGAGCAGGATTCACGGTTAAGCAATGCTCCACAATACCTAACCATCATCATCACACTTTTGCATTAGCTTTTTTTTTTTTTTTTTTTGAGAGGTTTTAGCTATAGAGTGCATGCGCTCGCAAGAAAAACAGAGACAAAGAGATAGAAAGCGAGAAATCACCCCCCCCTCCCCCGCCCCTGAAGATGGTGATGCCACAATCCCTTCTCCATTCTCCTCTTGGGATCTTGGACATGCATGCGCATGTGCCCAGTGTGAATTTAAGCCACTGGATCTGGGACTCGAACCCAGGTGACTACATGGGAGTTCAGCAACATAGCCATTACGCTAACTGCTGGTCCCCGTATTAGCTTTTCAGTGTTGTAGTTAGGGAGACCAACTGTGCCACCACAATCACTCCTTTGGCCCAAGTTGGGCCAACTCCACTGCCCTAGCTGTTGTTTTTAGGTACTAAAGACATCTAGGTAGTATTTGCATTTTCGATCTCTGTAACTGACAAGGTAGTATGAGTATGAAGATACTTACCCAACATTTGCTTTTGCTCTTGAGGAGGGGCAGATGCCAACATGGAAGCAGTCAAAGGTTCCTGACCTTGTACATGAACAGCAGGCTAAATTGAAAGTAGGAAAACTTTAAGGACAGAAGTAGCAGCAAATACAGTTATGACTGGAAAGAGGCAAAATGAATGAATTAAACGCAAACTAAGGTGAGCCAGAAGATGGTACAGTGGTAACACAGCTGAGCTGACATGGGAAAGGTCCTGGGTTTGCAGCTCAGCATCTCTTTTGAGTAAGTGCATGTGTGCGCACGCACAGTCCAAGCCAGCTGACTCTAGGGGTAGAATGCAACCTGTGACCCTGCTGAAGGGGCCAATCTCAAACTCTCAGAAGAAATAAGAATGACACTCAACAATACAAAGTGCTGACAGATATGAAAGATGTAGAACTCTCATACAGTTCTAGAGAAAACACAAAATGAAAAAAAGGAAAATACAGACTAGAGTAGCTAAGAACACCTAGGTGCTCAGAATCTCTATAACTACCACATCTGACATAATTTCATTTTCTTTTTTTTTGTTTAAGGTTTTTGCCATAGGGCATGAGCACATGTTGGAGAGACACAGAGAAAAAGAGAAAGGAAGTAAAGAATCATTCCTCGGGGGATGGCTAGGCCACAATCCCTTCTCTGTTCCCCCTCAGGATTTTGGGCGTGCACACACATCTGGTATGATTCTCAAGCTGCTGAGTCCTGAACTTAAAGCACAGTCGGCCACGTGGGAGTCCAGCTCCTGAACCACTATGCCACCTTCTGGCCCCTTCATTTTCTTTTTTATCCTGAGTTTTCTGTGGAATTGCATTTCTATCTTTATCAGTTTTGCTCCCAAGGTTGAAGAAAAGGTAAGCCCGATCTCACAATAAAACTAAACATTTCGTTACCATTTCTTTCTCCCAACTATGCCAAACAAAACTTTCAGGCTAGACAAGTATTCCAGGATGAGGACGGCTGACTACCTGTCTAATTCCTACACTATATAAAACAATTGTTACATCTATACCTGTTGCATGGTAACTTGCGGCTGTGCATTAAGATGTTGTTGAGGATTGCGAACTCCCGCAGCATATTTATATTGTGGAACGGTGCGGACAGCAGGAGTAGCTGCAGCAGCAGCAGCTGCAGGACGTGGACCCATTGTCTGTGTTGATGTGTTAGCTAAAAAATAAAGCATATTTTTATATTTTATTCATTTATTTTTGTTTGAATTGGAGATCAATTTTTACAGGAAGGGCTAAGACTCACCAACACGTTGTGTTGACATGACTCGTGGAACCTGTGAAGAAGCTGGTCTCATAGTACTAAATGGTGGTCTAGGAGCGGCTGGGCGGATAGCACCGGGCATATTTTGGAATGCTACATTCAAAGATATGAACATATGTTAACTGGGAAAACTCTAGAGTAAAAAGCATTCATGCTTCTATTGATTTTAATGGAAAACAATGCTCTTAACATCTTTGCCTACAAATCATCAACTTAAAAAATACATTTTCCAAAGTGTTTACTCAAAACTGTTATTACACTGCTAAATGTTGTGAATAACTGTGATAATTACAAATCAAACTATATACAGCAAATAGGCCTTTGTTATTTTCTCAGACTTATCAAAGCTGTTATTTCTTCATACTTATTAAATCTGAGCATCAGTAAACAAAAAGATTAATTCCTATGTACTATTATTAATAATTGTATCATAACACACTGCAAAATTCCAAGTGCTCCTACAATACAGCAGTATGTTCCACAGAAAAAGGTTAAATTTAAAATGCCAGGACCAATGTTTATACATGATTACATGAAACAAGATCTCTTAATACTACTGCCTAACCAAATGTAAAATTAATGAGCTGGATCCATTCCCAAAATCTCCATAAAGGAAAAATCAAACTAGTGTATACATTACTATCTTGCAAAGACAGACATGGTGAACCATTTTTTAATTTAAAAATATGCTAGAACCCAAAAAAGAACATCTATAACCATAAATTATGATAATAAGCAAGTGAAGAGAGCACTGAAATGAAAAAGCTAACTTTTCTCATGTATTTTTAGCCCAATTCCCAACCTTAATTAAAAGAAAAATTTAAGACTTACGATGAGGTCTGGCACCCTGAGCAGTCCAGCGAGGACTTGGTCTTAGTTGAGCAATTTGGCTAGGAGGATAGTATGCAGCACGGTTCTGAGTCTGCAAAAAGAAAGCAAATCGATTAACTGAAGAAAAAAAGGTAATAATGCAACATTCACCAGGCACCTACACTTGGGGTGTTTTTCCAATTCATTCATAACCTACATCTCTTGACAATGTTTTTACCTCAAGCGTTTCTTATATTGGAGAGCAAACAGACTAGAGATGAACAGATGATGAAACTCATCGTTGCAAAGTTCTGACAGTCTGCTAAAACCTACCTGGGGGATAGCTGCCATGAAGTAACCTGAAGGAGGCGCTGGCTGGTAGGGGTTGATTACGGGGTTGGGCACAGCTCGTACACTTGCCATCCTCTGCATATACTGGTTAGTGAGGTGAGCCTGGCGCTCTTCTTTGCGCTGAGCTAAAGCTACATACAATGGCTTGGTGGCCACGATTCTACCATTCATTTCTGTAACTGCTTTAGTGGCTTCTTCTGGGGAGGAGAAACACACAAAACCAAACCCTTTGCTGCGACCACCCTCCATCATAACCTATTAAAAGAAAAAAAAAATTAAACAAAGTTAATGGAATGGCAAAATGAGGCAAAAAAGGGGGAGAGCATTATCACTTAGAGTCAATTCTCGTCATCAAATTAAGTAACTAAATGCTGTTAAGGTTGTTAATTAGGTGTTTACCCTTTGTTTACAATTGTTTGTAACAGCCAAAATAAGGGCAAGTTACACATATGCGTTACTCTAGTCAAGCAAGGGAGCTAAACAAAGTAGATAAAGAGGCTGAGGTATAACAGTGACTTTTCAACATTTTTAGTATATAATCTAGTATTAAATTTTCAATAGTAAAATTTAAATATCCAAATGCATTCAAGGCCTAAATTAACCTTTTGGCACCACTGGAAACATCCTTCATTAAATTTTGATTATTCTAGCAACTCAAGGTAACAGGATGTTTCACTACTCTTGATGGAACAAGTAGCTGAATTTTAGAGAAATTTTACATTTTAAAAGTTTCATGTTCAGTAAGAGGGACAATTTAGTGTAAATAACACTCAAAGAAAGCTTTTTAAAATGAATGCAAAGATCTTTTAAGTGAATATTGAAGAGATGAAAAAGCAAAAAAAAAAAAAAAAGACACCCCTCACTAGTCCTACCATGTACATAAGCATATGAAATGAACTTAAGCAATATGCTAGTGGCACACAAACAGCAATAAAACAGAGACCATAGAAACATATCCATGCACTTATGGGAATTATGAGGAAAGGAGTAACTTTGGACTATTAAGTACATGCCACATTGAGACAACTAGAAATTAAGTTAGCTCTCTTACTCACTTTACATTTAAAAATGAACACTGGCCAGGTAGACTTGGAATCCAAACATAAGATGCAAAAATAATGAAAGAAGCTTGCTAACTTGATAAACCCCTCAATGTTAAAGTTGTGTGACTGAGAGAAAATAATTTGCACTATCACACAAAGGGGGTAACATAAAATACTTTCTAAGTCAATAGACAACTAACTCAATAAAAAAAATGCAAAGAAAAAAGGTGAAACTGGTAAACACATGAAAGTACATCACAAGGTTAAAAGAAAAAGATTTGAAAAGGTGTGAGAACACTTTCTACTGAACTGACAAATCTATCAAAACCAATGAAAATACACTCTTTTTGAAAAACTTGGCTGTCTCAATTTCAAATATACACTAGTGCTAATAAACAATTCCAGTTTTAGAAATTTAAATGACAAGACTGTTCACAAACACAACGGGTTCTACAATGGAAACATGCAAAGCAACCCAGATACTTATCAATATAGGGAGAGTGAATTATAGTATTAACCACGAACACTCAAATAAAACAAACAAACAAAACAAAACAAACCCACACCTGAAAAAAGTACAAATCTAGACCTACCATATTTTAAAAAATATTTATCTACTATTCTTGTTTTAATTGTGCTATAGGGCTTACATGCCCATCAGAGAGAGAGCTATAAAGAGAAAAAGCCCTCAGGACTGGTATTTGAATGTGGTCGATCATGTGGGAGTCTAGCACCTTTAACCACAATATTACCTGCTGGCCCCAAGACCTACTATTAAGTGAAAAGGCAAATCACGGATTATGTCCAGTATGACCTGTTTCCTAAAAACTGCTTTATATATCCACAAAGTGTTTGAATGGTCCAGGATTTCTCCAGGAAGAATCCCTAAACTGTAATGGGTCCATTTTGGAAACTGAAAATGGGGGACTAGAGGAGTAACCTATCTCACTTTTTGTCCCTTTTATGTCACATGATAATTTTTCAGCAAGCATTATTAAACTAACATGATGACCATCTCTTCTTGAACTGTGATACTGTAATCTCCCAAGTACTTGGAAAAACATGCGTGCTTCATACATTCAAGGTAAACTAATGCACAATGTTCAATTTAAACAACTTTCCAGAAACATGCTGACAATATATACCCAACACTAAATTCTATCATTCTCAGAAAAGCTCTAGCTGAACCCCAAAGGCAACTATGATACAAAACTTTATTTGTATTCACTCACTTTGCCTCAAACATCTTGTTAACTATCACAGAAATTCCTATGGCCAATGGAAAAGCTGAATGGAAACACCAGCCATGATTTCCACATCAATGAGTTCTAATTCTTCCTGTGTACTCTTCTCTGACTCCAGCAAAAATTACACCCACAAAAACTGCATAGAGGAATTCTTAAGACCATGGACTCTAAATAAAAATATCTAGAGCAAAGGTTCTTAAATCAAAGCTTCAGAATCTGTTCTGGAATCCTATTGCTGCATTTCTTAATCTGATTTAAAATAAACAGAAATATTATCTTTGTCTTTACTGCTGTTCCTGCCACCCACAGGGGGTTTGAAGGTTCTGAATGAATTGTGTAAATGAATAGACTCTAACTATTGTTAACAATTAGAGCTTCCTGGGACCATCAAATGGCGTTAATAGGTATGTTGCTGGACTCCCACAAAGTTGACTACAATTTGAGTCCTGGACCTGGTGGCTTCAAACTCAAGCCAGGTGCTTGTGCATGAATGCCCAAAATCCCTGAAGAAAAATGGAGAGGGGACTGCAGTGTGATTCCCCCTGCCCAGGGGAGGGGGTGATTTCTCGCTGTCTCTCTGGTGAGTGCACGTGCCCTACAACAAGAATCTCTCTCTCAAAACAATTACAGCTTACTCATAAACTGCCGTCTTTAGACAGTAAAAAACTCATTTAACAAAGCATGGAACAAAAAATGTATTTAACAGAACGTGGAACGAGTGTATTATCACGTGAGGAACAATTACTAACTGTGATCACGAGGGGCCTTAGTTAAGCTTATAGAACTCACCATCTGCGAAAGTAAACCATTAGAGCACAAAATCAATATGAACTTAAGTTTTAGAAATAATGAAGCAAATCCCAATTTCTAGAAAAATTATTAAAAATCTGATGCCTTTCTGGAAGAAAATGCTACCACTACTAGTTGGTCTACTAGTATAAGACTTATATACATACCAATGTGCATGGATTGTTCCCAAATATTTAAAAACAAAATCATATAAATCTTACCTTTGCACTAGTGATTGTACCAAATGGAGAAAACTCTTTCCGGAGACGTTCATCATCAATACCATCATCAAGATTTTTCACATAAAGGTTAACACCCTAAAAAGAATAAAAGAATTAACTGTAGAAAAAGAAAAAAAGACAATCATAGTGGTATCCAAACATACTTCCTATTATTTTATCCCATGTTTCTTCTCCTTTTCCCCCTCTTAAACCCTGCAGTTACCTGGAAATAACTGAAATGAACGTAAATTAGGTTTCCTCATCCCTGTCTTATTTTGCTTGTTCAATTAAAAATGAACCTGGTATCTGGTGATCCTATCTTGCTTCATCTGCTCAAATTTGCGCTTAAGTTCCGTCTGCCGTTCCACTTTTTTCTGAGCTCGACCAACGTATATTTGTTTTCCATTGAGCTCCTTTCCGTTCATCTCATCCACAGCCTTACATAAAAAGCACAATAACTTCAATTAGTAATTTGTAATATACAAATTCATTTCTTTAACAATAAAGAACATCTGTTAAATTATGAAAGATAGCTATATATATATACACACACACACATATATATGTATGTACATACACATATATACATATATCCCACAATTGAAATTTGGGACAATATAGGTTCCCAACTTATGTACTTGAATAATTAAAATACAAATTAATATACAAGATCATATAACTGACATGCAAATAAATTTGAGAGAGCAACTAAATTTTGTATTCCCCTTTCACTGTAGAATACAGAAAAACTACACTGTATTTTGTTACTGCATTTCAAAATCTTACTTTCTGTGCATCTTCATGCCTTTCAAAGCTTACAAATCCAAATCCTTTGGATTTTCCACTTTCGTCAGTCATTACTTTAACACTTAAGGCAGGTCCTAAAAAAAAAAAGAAATTAAGTAATTCACATATTCCACTTAGTTTATATATTTCAAAAGACACCAGACAATAACAATAAAAAGAAAGTGTTTTTTAAAAATGATACTCAAGGGAACCAGCAGTTAGCGTAATGGCTATGTCGCTGGATTCCCACGTAGTCAACCGCGGTTCGCGTCCCGGACCCGGTGGCTTAAAACTCACGCCAGGCGCGTGTGCGTGGGTGCCCAAGATCCCAAGAGGAGAATGGAGAAGGGATTGCGGCGTGACCATCCCCCCGGGGGGTGATGTCTCGCTTTCTGTCTCTATGTCTCTCTCTGTCTGTCTGGCAAGCGCACACGCCCTATAGCGAAAACCTCTCAAAAAAAAAAAAAAAAATGATACTCAAGCAATTGACTCCTCCACTAAATCTCTAACCTCCCCTGACAGGCACTTATAATTCTCTAAAGATCCTTTATTTCTACTAAGAAAGTAAACACTTTATTCCCTAAAAGATTCCTCCTTCCATTTATGGAGATATGTGGTACTAAGCAGAAAGAGAGGAAGTTTTATTCTGAGCTATAGCACAAAAAGATTGTTATTTCTTAGTAATATGCTTTTTTGATATGAAGTAAACTCCTTAAAGCCTGGGTCCACCTGGGTTTTTTTAAAAGAATCATTTATTTAATTTTACTTATTCATTCATTCATTTTACTTTGACCAGAAAGACGGGTGGGAAGAAAGCAAGTCACCAGATCCAGGACTAGAACTGTGGTTTGCAATGTGGGAATGTCCAACGCTTTAACCACCACGCTACCTGCTGGTACTGGTCCATCTGGTTTTCAATAGGGAGTGGAGGGAATACATGGTTGGACTTTAGTCCTACCCTTTGGTAGGACTAAGACAAAGCTGAATCACCAGGAGGCAGCAGCATGTTTCTGAAAACACTTGTGTCCCCTATCCCCAATTCCCTCAAGTGGAAAAGATACTTAACTGAAATGGGTGGTATCTCGGGTAAGTGGGGCAGAAAAAGGTTAAAAAAAATCACATTTGATTATAGAGATTTTTTAAATGTATGGGATCAGGCAGAAGTTCTTTTGCATGTGCCTTTGTCCTAAGGCTGTATTTCAAATCTTTGGCATGCAAAGCAAGTCAAGAAAATATCTGACATATTTACATATTGGTGGTCAACTCACATATAGCATTCCTCACTTGGGGGTACATTAGTTAACACTCAGCTTTAGCATCAACTTCTAACTGAAGCAAGACTATACAAAAAGAAACACACTAAATAAAGAAAACTTGGAATAAAATGTGAAACACGTCATTTATTTTCTGCATCTTACACCACAGTGTACAAAAGCATAAACTATTTGCTCAAAGGAGTGGAGGATTCAATGTGGCTTTCTAGCCTGGCAATTAGATTTCCTGATTCTTTATTTGAAGTTCTCAAGATAAAAAAAAGCCACCTCTTAAGTGCAACACAAGTAAAGCTAAGAGTGGGTCAAGCAAATCATTTACAAATATATACTTAAATGTTCATCTTCGGATCTATCACACAGCTACCTAGAGTATTACTGGCTTATACTTCTTTAATTCCAAGTTTACTGAAGTTAATATTGAAATAAAAGAAAGAATCTTTGTTTAAGAGTCCACAAGGGGAGGCAGATGGTGGCATAGCAGTTAGGCTGACCCAAGTGGGAAAGTTCTGAGTTTCCACGCAGTGATCTTCCCTGAGTGCTCTGGATACAGTAATGCCCATGACGTGTGCTATGATTTCACGCTGTCTGAAGCTGGAAAGGATCCTGGTATCAGGAACCTGTCTCTCTTGCTCATGGAAGAAGTAGATTTAAAAAAAAAAAAAGGTCATGGATTCAGAAAGCCACTTCAAGGAGTTAACACTGGAAAATCAGGGATCTTTGGTTTTATTTTAAAAGATAAAAGGCAGTTTTAAACTGTTCACATATGATCTGAGACTGGCCAAATACTCTACAGCTGGCCAGCTTTCCCATCTTGTAACTGTAGACTCAACTCTACTATAAGCTGGCTATATCAGAGGATAGCTAAAAAAGCATAAACCTAAGATTTTTTTAATAGTTTGTTACAGGATGTTATGCGGTCACTAGAAAGTGAAAAATCACCCTTCCCGTGGGGGTGGCCTCACTACAATCCCTTCAACTCATTCTCTTCTCAGGATTTTGGACTCATGTGCACTTGTATCTGGGTGTTTTTAAAATGTTTATCTAAACTGTAGAGAATTTTACTGTACTTATATGCTACTTTGTAGCACACTATATGTCAGTAGCTTGACTCAAATGACTTCAAGTATTCTCAAGTACCATGCATGTCCCATCGCATTTAGTTTTTTAGTACAATATATGAGCCAAAAAAAGGTTTAACTACTCCTAACTCAAGAATGAAAAATTTAATTCACATTACCAAACTTGCCAAAGAGATCCTTAAGGCGCTCATCATCCATGTCTTCTCCAAAATTCTTGATGTAAACATTGGTGAACTCTTTTGCCCTAGCTCCAAGTTCTGCTTCTCGTTCTTTACGAGACTTAAATCGTCCAACGAATCTAATAAAATATAAGAACTAAAACGTTAAGTACTATTTCATAAAAGTTCAGATTAACTAAGCCTAATAGTGGATTTTGCAATTGTTACTGAGAATTTTCAGATTCTCCACTACAAAGCAGAAATAAGGCCTCAACTGAAGATATAATCTCTTAAATCCCTTAACTATAATCACAAAAAAGGAACAATTCTTTTCTCCAGCACACAACAGCCTGGCATACCTGCAGCATTATCAACAAAATGACTTTAAAGAACTTAAAAATTGGGGCTGGCAGGTGGCATGGTGGTTAGAGTGGTTGGACTCCCATGTGGCCAACCACAGTTGTAGTCTCGGACTTGGTGGCTTACTTTTTCCCTTTCTCTCCCCCACCTCCCCGGAATTAAGAAATAATGACAAATACAATTAAATAAATAATTCTTAAAAAAAAAAAAAATTAAATCCATCTTCTGTAAGCCTACCAAATCATTATTGACACTTAATATTAAGTCCTTTTGTTCTCTAACTGATCAAGAATATTCATTAATGGAGATATTCAGAGTTCTACCTACCACTCCCCAAAACAGTGAAGCTTCTCCATGTTAGCTTTGTAAATGTTCTCAATGGGAGTATAATTATTTCACTGTGGACACATAACATCCTGAATTTGTAACACAACTTTATAAATAACAGCTTCCAAATTTGTTCTTAGGATAGAATTATAGAAACCACAGTTCAAAGGGAATATAAATGAACCTAAGATTATTTATATATGTTGTCAAATTATTTTCCAAAAGGGTTTTAACATTTTATATGGAAAAGAGCAATACATTAGTTTACATCCAGTTCCTGCCAGTGTTAGGCATTCTTTTAATTTTTTTCCTAAAGCATCAATAACTTTCAACTGTATGGACTAATGATGATGATTATTTCTCTCACTTAAAAGAGGTACTATTTCTAAGACTCTTTGTAAACACTGTTCATTATGAAAGAGTTGCTGGTTTTCTTATAGACATGTATGGGCTCTAATTTATATTTGACAGTCTTTCCTTAATCATGAATCAACACAGTAGACCATACCACTTGATGCAGTGATTGATCAGAACCACACCTTAAAGAGTAACGCACTTACTGCTTTATAACCACTAAAGCAAACTTGTATGTCATCACCACAGTTCATACTGTAGCAAGAAGTCATTTATGACTTAAGAGCTGAATGTGCTCGGTAATTAAGAAAAATCCACTGGCATTCAGAATAAAGATATTTCTTTGACATATCAGAAAATCTGTATTTTAACAAACTGTAGCAAAAAACAGCCTTGTAAGTAGGTTTTAACTGTTTTTTAACTTCTAAAACTAGGTATATTTCCAGAAAGGTTACATACATTTCGGGACAATTAATCACAGAAACTTCTGATTTGATTCTGCTTCATTTTTATACTCTCATCAAAAAACTACAATAGTGGGGGCCGGCAGGTGGCATGGTGGTTAAAGTTGCTGGATTTTCACATGGCCAACTGTGGTTCAAGTCCTGAACCTGGCGGCTTTCTCTCTCTCTCTCTGTCCCTCTCTGCACAAACTGAAATGAGCAAATAAATAAATAATAAATAAAATTAAATAAAATAATTAAAAAAAAACTATAATAGTATGAGTAATATGGCCATATAATTAGGCTATAAATTCACTCCTTTGTATATATCCCAGTTTATCTGTTAACAGTATGTAAAACCAAATTATATCAGTTTGCCTCAAGTGTAAAACAGACTAATTTTCCTAGTATTTCAGGAATTATAAAGTTGTCTGGATTCCTGGCTTTCCAACAATGCACTTATTTTGAAAAAAAACTTTATATTTATATCCTTTACTTTCTCCTGTTCTTTAAACTGTGAATGTTGATCAGTTATATTCAATCCACTGTTACTTATGTTATACTGACTGCAAAGAAAATATAATAAAATCTACCAAGATGTATTTTACTTTGACTAGTTGTATCTCATTAAGAATATAATATAAATACAGGGGTCGGCAGGCGGCGTGGTGGTTAAGTGCGCTGGACTCTCACGTGGCTGACCATGGTTCGAGTCCCGGACCTGATGGCTTGCTTTCTCACTTTCCCTCTCTTACTCTGTCCCTCTCTGGTCAAATGAAAAATAAAGTTAAATAAAATAATTTTAGGAACCAGCAGTTAGAGTAATGGCTATGTCGCTGGACTCCCACGTATTCGATCATGGTTCGCGTCCCGGACCCGGTGGCTTAAAACTCAACGCCGGGCGCGTGTGCGTGCGTGCCTAAGATCTCGAGAGGAGAATGGAGGAGAAGGGACTGCGGTGTGACCATCCCCCCTGGGGGGTGATTTCTCACTTTCTGTCTCTATGCCTCTCTCTGTCTGTCTGGCAAGCACATGTGCCCTATAGTGAAAAAACCTATCAAAAAATTTTTTTAAAAAAATATGAGTACACCAACTTTCTGAATGAGTGGGTTTATAACTATTAAAAACAGATTTCAAATAGGATTAACTAAATATTTACTTACACTTTGCGATCATTTAGAAGCATCCCATTCATTTTTTCACTCACTCTTTCAGCAGCTTCCTGTGTCTCAAAGTGCACAAATCCATAGCCCTTGGAACCATTTTCATCACAAACCACCTAAGGAAAAAAAACACACACCCATTCTTCATTACTTACTATTGATTTAACACTTCTCCAGTGTTTGGAGATTTTTTTGTCATCTAACCTGGATGCATGAGAAATAAAGCTACCAAACCAGAGTTGCTACTTTAAGGGCTAAACTAAAAGTAGTTAAACATGGTAATTATGTTTACCTGTCATTTTTGCTTACCTTACATGAAAGGATGTTACCAAAAGCAGAAAATGTATCATACAGTGCTTTATTATCAATGGATTTATCCAAATTTTTAATGAATATGTTGCCCACTCCACTTTTGCGAAGTGATGGATCACGCTGAGACCACATGATGCGTACTGGCTTGCCCTTTATAACATCAAAATTCATGGTGTCCAATGCACGTTCCGCTGCAGAAGGGATATTTTCAGAGTGATTACATTACAACTTTTACTAGCCACTTAAGATTATATATATCAATTATGGTGAGGAGAGTAGGTGGGCACATGGCCTCAAAGCTGAACTCCATCCCCTTGAAACTTCAGATACCATAAACTACTCTAGATTTAAATTGTATAATAGAGAAATCCTAAATTTCCCATATTTTAAAGGATGGTATATTGCTAATAAGTTACTTCTGAAACAATGTCTTCCCTTAATTGCTATTAAATTTAGATAAGCACTTTTTTGTTTCTAGTAAACATAAAACTAAAATCCCTTCATATATGATCTACTTAACGAGCAATGTAAGACATTAGGCACTATAGATCTACAAAATAGTTTATGGATTGATTTTAACTTCCCAAATATTTAGCAAAAATGGTCATTTCACTGCTTATTACTGCCAACATTACACAAAAACTAGGCCACTGCCTTAAAAAACAAAATTCTCTAATTACTGGGAGGGATTTCAGTGATTCTGGAACTTAACATGTTAAAAAAAGGTTAAGAGCATGATTTGAATCACACCTTCACAAAAACTAATGGTTTTACTAATGTTTTACTTAGTTGCACTAATAACAGAATTTTTGAAATATCAGGCCTGCATTACTCACTATTCACCTTGAATGCTTTCTTGACACATGGAATCAATTTTATCTTAGATCACTGATCTACTTAATAACTGACAATTTAATCTAGTTATTTCTGGAAAGTGCTAGAATACTTCAAACTCTATCCTACATTTAACTTCGGGGTCTATGAAGGATAGAATTATGCGTATGTGTACCATTAAATCAACATTTTAAAATATATACCTTTAAGTAAAAAGACTTAGTCCCTAAAGAGGGAAAAAACAGTTCCTTTTAAGTCTTGAAACAATTTCCAAATTCTATGCCAATGTAACTGTAGTTATTGACAGGACAAAATTTCCAGTCACTTCCTAAATGAATGTTTCAGTTTCTAGAATATAGTGATAATCAACTGTCAGCTCATTATCAATTGACCACACCTACTCAGCTCCCCTAGTTTTTAGCTGACTTTGCTTAAGCTTCTTTTGAACGAGTCACCCTTCCTATTAAATTAAATACTGGTCACTTTCAGAAACTATTCCCCAAGTCCATCAATGTAGGAATAAATAATAAGAAAAAGACCCAGAAAAAGCTATTTGGATAAAAGGGAAATTGTACATAGAGAAATCGAATAAACAAGACGGAAATACACTATCTTCTCTTGAGCAGTTATTGGTACTGGTGTACTGGTATAGACAGATAATATATACAGTGTACTGTAACCATGGCAACCTGAAGTTCAACTTTTCAAACCCCAAGAAATTCAAAGTATTTTTTTTTGTTTAAAAAAAGTTAAGCTTACAAAACATAACCTACAGATTACCATTTTACCCTCTCTAGAATTCATCACTTTTCTCTACCAACTCTAGATTGTGATTGTGGGATCCAAGATGATATTTCTTAATCTTACATCCAATGATATACATCTTGGCCAGAGTTGAGAACTGTTATAAAGAGGTATATGGAGTTACTGCTTACAGAGCAGAAGGGCAGGAAACCTGCAGTGCAGTTTTACAACTTCTGTGTCACTTAATATTCTGCTTACCCAAAATCTCAGTTATCAACTTTACCTTGTGGAAAGTTGATCATTAACCTAAAGCTCTACTGAATGAACTTAATGAAATAGAAGTTTAATTTCTACCCTTCTGGCCTCCTCCATTAAAAATGAATTCTTTGTATTTTAAAATACCTGAAATATATGCAACCAGGTTTTATTGCTTGTTTTTAAACTGAGCTATACAATCAAGTGAAGCTGATTTCTGGGAATCAACTGATCCAAATATACAGAATAATAGTAGCAACACATCAGGTCATAGATCTAATCTATTTGCCACATTTTTGGTTTTGTGAACTATTTAACTTTAAAATAAAAGTTTATCATCAGCATTTCCCCCCACAGATATCAAGTTCAATTTAATCTCACTTGTTTTGTACTCAATCATATCCCAAGATTTAGAGACATCCTGGACCCTTTTTGAAAATAAAAGATACCTGAACTACTTGAGTACTAAGTATAATGGTCCAGTCCATATCACACTAACAAGCAACACTTTACAGCCCAAACTGGTGAATATATTTCAAAGAAAACCCCTCAAAACCACAAGAGCTGCTTCAGACCAAAAAAAATATACTGAACAACAAATTGCCTATACCTGTACTATGAAACTAAAAGTCGAAATTAAAAAAAAGATCTACGTTGCCCCAGAAAACTAGCTTTCAAAGGGTCTTCTGCATACCCTCCTGCAAACCCTCCTCCCACTGTTAATGAAGAGAAATACTTGATCTAGGGGTGAATCTCAGAAGCACATCTGGGTTTCTGGATCCATCAGTGACTGATGAGTTTTTAAAGAGTGAGGTCGCAAGCCTGAGGTCCACCACCATATTAACTTTATTCTAAGGCCTTGTGGCTCCCCCAGGCGACTGGGCCAGGAGCAGGAGGTACAGGCCCCAGGCCTGTGAGGTTACAGGGTTCAACACGTGGTTATTTTTTCGAGCAGCGAACTGCACTTCCTCCCCAGCCCAGAGCACTGGCGAGAGCCCCAGGTAGTGGGAGTGCCTCCACCTATTCCCGAGAAGGGGGCTCGGCGCTCCACGTCTCAGAATCCTGCTACTACTGGCGGGAACGCCAGGGAAGAACCGAATCTCACCCACCCTCCCCGCGCGTCATCACCCTAAAGTTTGAGAGCGTCTGAGGCCGAGAAAATGGTCGCAAAGGAGGAAGTGGCAGGGCGTGCGAGGGCAGGCGGTTGCCGGCTGCGCGGTCCCCGCGGGCACAGGGGAACGAGGCTCCGGGAGACTGGGCAGGGAGTCCAGGCGCCCGAGCGTCCCCTCGCCGGCC